AAACCGCAGCTTTCTAGCTACACGGAATCATTTTACAACCCTCTTTGTTGACAAGTTTATGGCTTGACGCGGTTTGTAATAATTATTAAATCCAAAATATTTTAATGCAAATGGCTTCCTTTTAGTCGTAATGACTCTATTCCAACTACAGTATTAATTTTCTTGGTCCAACTTAATAATAATAAATTTGATGTGAAAATTTTTTTCTATTCTTTGTCTATGGAGAGATATTGTTGTAAATTATTGGTTTTATAGCTTTTTGTACATTCCTTTTTGAACTCTGGTTAGTTTTTTTCTAGTTTGAATGACATTAGGTTGACAAATACGCGCGTCTTTTCAGAAAAGATTGATTCAAATTCGACTATACCAATCAGAATCTAGAATGTAAACAAATGCTAAAAAATTGTTTTTTTTTAGCGCTATTTTCACTTATTTTTGTTATTTAACGCTATTTAGACGAATAGGCAAGTTTTCGGAGCCAAAATAGAAACTTCCCCATAACATCGAAATGACGTTCTAACATCATTTTAAAATATTCCATATCTAAACCAGAAAGTGTTAGATAGAAATAGACTTATTTATAGAACAATCCCCCATTTCTCACCTCAGGGAAAGTCATAAAACAGTTGGGTGCTAATGACTTTGTGAAAGGGAAAAAGTTCTAAACTTAGAAACTTCAAAAGAAGGGATTTGGCCTGTACCTTCCGCAGGCCGCATAAACATTGATAGGGGGCCGTATGTGGCCCGCCGGCCGCAGGTTGTGCACCCCTGATTAAAGCAAATTATATAATTATATACATGTATCATTAATGAGTTCGAATCAAGAAAAATGCATCTAAATATGCCTGGGGCTGTGACAGAGAGTTCACACGAGGTTCGTGTAGCGATAAATACCTTTTGTAGTGAATGTTCCAGGAGTGATAATCTTGAATTTGGGTTTTGTTTAATCTTGTTAATCTTGAATTTAGGTTGTTGTGATTAGGTTGAGACAGTCTTGTTTAGGATCGTTAGTAAGGGTTTTGTATCTCCGATAGTTTTTCTGTAAAGGCGCAATGGTAGGCAATGTCCAAGGGCAAGTAGGTGAGATATTCAGTTGGGTAGGATCGAGCACTGGCACAATTAAAAGTTGGAGAAATTTTGTGATGACTTTACTCCTGATGGAATAGGTGACAACTGACTCTTTGGCAGACAACTTTGATATCAGTCCAATATCGCCCGGCTAAGAGGTCAGATCACAAGAATGTGTCATTTTCGTCGTCGGGAAAGTGTAAGTGGAGATTTACTCAGGCAGCTGAAGACAATTGTTGAGCAAGCATGGCATCATTGACAATTAAGTTTTGTTAAAGTTCGGATTCTCACACTATCTTCTAATTTAATTTACTATACACTCTTTTGTTAATTTGATTTTTAAAATGACCATATAACATGAAAATTCACTTGAAATATAGGTTTTATTTATTTATTTGATAGCCAAGAATAAATTATTGTACTATTCTGTATTTAACTTTAAATACAGTAATGTACTGTACATAAATCCATACCTGAAATGAAATCATATCATTTTCAACTTACTTCTCAATTACTTTTATATTCCAGTTTTTTTAAGGGTTCTCACAAAAAGAGACTTGGGAGACCATTATTGTAAAAAAGATAAATAATTCCACAATAATTTTCAATGATCCAATACCTTTAAAGGCTCTTAAACAGTAATGGCCAGTATCATTATTTTGAATTCATCCCTGTACAGTTAAACCCCTGGTTTCAAACTTAATTCATTCTTAAAAGTTGTTCAAAAACCAAAGCAAATTTTCCCACAAGAAACAATGTAAAATGGATTAATCTGTTCCTTACTCCCAAAACCAAAAAAAATTTTTTTTTACCTTTTAGCTGTATTTCATGCATAAAAATGTCTATAAAGGCAGTATACCAGCGCTGTCCAACTGGTGGCCCGCGAGTACATTTTACTATGAATAAATTTATGTTACTAAATTATTATTATTAATATTAAAATTATTTTACTACCGTGTTTCCCCGAAAATAAGACGGTGTCTTATATTAATTTTTGCTCTGAAAGATGCGCTAGGNCTAGCTTTTTAAATGTTTGGTATGAAATGAACTGTAACAATTTAATAACTTAGATTTTAAAAAATAATTTGCATATAACAATTCTTACAACAAATTTAGAAGTTCAAACATTATTTTATAAATAAAAAAATATTAAAACACAAAATCTATAACCAAACAAAACTGCTTTATTGGAGCAAAAAATCATGATAATTTTTTTGGCTTTAGACCTATTTTCAGAAACAAAGCAAAAACCTAAAATTTTTTTTCCAAGTATTATGAAATATTTTTAAAATCACATTCTATCTCTTTACATATGTAAAAAAGTAATAATTATTAAAAAAGAAAATACAATTATACAATATTTTAAAACTGCTAAATAATGTTAAAATATCAAAATTAAAAAACTAGCAAGACAATAAATTATTTTGCAATTAGCAATATTAAAACATTAATTAAATGGCTGAAAGTAGACAGAAAGATGCATAAATGGAACTGTTAAAATAAATAAATCACATTAAAATTTAGATATTAATCAATAGTTGAAAGATTACAGGTATTATCAGCTCTATATGATTTTCCAAACTATTTCTAGAGAACAGCAAGAAAGACTATCTTTGCTATTAGAGTAAATTTTTATGGAAACTCAGCCAAATATGCAGACTTTCTACTGTTTTTAGATTTTCTGCTCCAATAAAGCAATTTGATGATATAAATTATTTTGTAGTATAAATTTTTTAGCATAAAGATCCAGAAGTTTTACTTTTGAAGAAAAGCTTCCCTCAAAAATAAAACAAGATAAATTTAAATTCACATTAAATCGGATAGAGTAATTTTAAATATATATAAATATCGAAAGATTGTTTTTTATCATTATAGCAGAAATTTAAACTACATGTTACTTTAGAAGAGGAAAATGATAGCACATTTTAAGGAGTTGAAAATTAGTCAGAGTTCAATTGAAAACAGTTCATTAATTATTATTAGTCTGATCAGTTATATATATCACAATTCAGGACTTTGTAAATTTGCATACCAAGTAGATCTTTTCTACAAAAACAATATATAAATTAACACTGGCTTGTCATATTTATTTATTTATCATCATTATTAACCTTATTAGTAAAAACAGAAGAGGTCAATAAAAGGTCAAGCATTCTTGAAGAGATCAACAGTCAAAAAGGTATGGAGACCCTAGCTTTAGAATTACTGTTGTAAAAATTAAGGGTAGAAGTTACTTTTAAGATTCTTATTATTAAATAAAAGTACAAGAGTATAATTAATCATTTGTATACATTATATGAAACATATTTTCATAACAGATCATTCAATGTAATAAATATAAATTTTTGTTAAGAAAACTTAAGCATATTTAAACACAAATTCTTGAATGCCATTTATATTACATCAATGTCAATTAACATGGTTTTTTTTGGGCTGCAATTTGAAAAAATTATATATCTATAAATTCCCACTGTTGTCCTTCCATCTGCCTTTCCTTAATCTCAAGAATGGAGTTAGATAGATGAAAGACGAGACCAGACATGGAAAGTGTAAGGGCAGAAGACCTCGATTAAGTATATAAGAACTTCCGACAAAAACTAGAAGTCATGTTGTTTCAATTCAAAAATTTTCCCCTGAAAAGTATTAGATAGATGACCAGCATGACTATTGTTAAAGAAAAAGTATGATGTACAGGAACAAGCCACTACTAATTTGAGGTGAAGAGCATATATCTTAAATTAAATAAATGAAAAATATGATTAAAAACTGCAGCCCGGCATTGTGATGATGTCACAATAAATAATTGCTCATTAATTAATTTGATTTAAATTTAACTGCAGCATGTACCGAAAAACAGGAATAGCATCTTTTCCACATGCACATTGATATGTAATTTAAATAGGAACATCATTGATGATTTGTATTATGATGTAATCTTGGTACCAGTAACTTCTGAATCTGTCAATCCTGTTGTTGATTGGTTGGGCCATCGACTTTAACATAGGAAATATGGAGCCAGCCACAGACAGTCAACTCCCCATAAACCTACTGACTGTCTGTGGCTGGCTCTGCTGAGTAGCTTGTTCAACAACTGAGTTATTGTACAGAAACTGGACAAAAAGAGTTCAAACATTTGTTCATAAACCGAACTGTTCGAAACTCATGGTTTGACAGTATCCAGAAATTCAAAACATACAGTAAAGTTAAATACCTATTTTATTTCATTTCAAAGAAAACAAATTTTTAAAATTTATGTAACACATGTTTAGAGTTCTAGTTACTGTGCAGAAATTTAAGTAAAAAAAAAAAAAAAACTTGCAATATGACCTCTTTTCAAGTGTATTAATCAGTTTTACTTCTATGAATTTCCACTTTGAATTTATAATAAATCCTATTTATCTGTAATTTAATAAAATTATTTATTTTTTAAATTAAAANATTTTAATAATATTAAAAAATGGCTTCTCCCGATAAAGCAGAAAAGTAAGAAATGTTTTGACAAAATGTATTTAGCTGTAAATTTGATGTAATTCACAAAATGGAATATATCGTTAAGCCTAAGTTGACATTTACCATTTTTACGGTATTTTAATGTGGCTAAAGCAATGAATTTCAGTTCGGTGAGAAATGAACGAAAACATTTTATTGACAGATTTAAAGTAAAAATGTGTTATATAATTCCCACAAGAATAATAATAAATGTTTAAATTAATTTAAAGATTATTAAATACCAATGGCAAAACGTTGTATTTGAATAAATAGTAAATTATTTGGTTTTTACTTGTTACAAAAGTCAAAACAAAGGAAAATAAAGTTATTTCTGTAGATAGATCTTCTCTTTGTTGAAAATATTCCAATATACTAGGTGGGCAGTCTCGTCTCCCTGTAGAAAGTTAATTGTATGTTCCAGATAAAGGACACGAATAGTAGCTGACACAAGTACCTATACTATTGAAGAATGTATAATTACTAGTTGGGTTTATGAAAGAGAAAAAACAGAAAATAATTAAAGAACTTTTGGCAGAGATTTGGATGACTGCGTTCGGCAGATTTGACAGTTCCGGAGCTGTTGAGTATTTTTCTGCCAAATGCTCTCTACGGAATGTGTTTGGTGTTTTGACGTCGCATTTGGTAGTGTCTTTCGTTTACGCTACCTATCGCTACCCGAAACTGATCGTCGAGGCTTTTTGTTCCGATGCGTTGTTCGGCAGATCTGGGTTGCTACGTAACGGCTACCGATTTGCTCGGTTATGACTGTTGAGTTTGCTGAATGCAGCCGATGTTTTTCTGGTGGGAGCATAAGAATTTTATTATGGGTAGCACAAAGGGTAAGCTTATGCATTTGTTGTTTGGGATATACCCAGTTCTGCAGAATGTTTCCACATTGATTTCTCGTATGATTTTGGCATTAATTCTTTGACACTGTGTTTTTCATATATGGCAAAGGATCTGCTGCTGCTTGATTTTTCCTCTGTGCTCTGTTATAAAAATCTTATGCTTCTACCAAAAAAGTATTCTATTCTTTTTGGAAGAGGCTGTCATCTAAATCTCTGCTGGAAGTTTTCATTGTTTTTCATTATTTCTCTTTCATAACATATAATTAATTTCCTGATTTTTGTGGAAATTCTTAATTTTTTTCCTGGTATAGAATTATATGTAATGTCTTCTAACCAATCATTGCTATATTTGTTTTCACTTTTTAAGTTTGAACTTGTATTCAAAAATGATATATTCTTTTCCATTGGTTTAAAGAGCATTTGAATTATGTTAGCCTGAGAATCTTAGTAGAAAACATCTAAAATGTTATAGTTGCATTAAAGTGTTTATTTGATGATTTAAAAGGTTGTGTAACTTTTGTTTAATCTTATAAAGTGATCTCTTTTTATTAGTCATTTCATGAGAATATAAAGATTTCAGTTATGTATTATTGTTTGATTTAAATAATACATAGTTTTTATATAAATGAAGTTCTGTTCTGTGATTTTAATTAATTTAATGGAATTTATTATACTTATCCATATAAAATATTCAAAGAAGAATGGGAGATGCAATGATCAACAATGAGATGAGAGAAGGCAAAGTGAAATTGTTTCAGAAAATGCCACTGATTTTTCTACGTGGAACTAGACACTTTAAAAGTGAATGATTATATTTTAAAGAACATTTTCATTTTATTTATATAATTCTTTTTTTATTGTTCAAATCTGAAGATTGCTGATAAATGCAACATCATCATCATTCATCTAAATATAATTAATTACTGACAAGGTGTCTAGTACTATTTATAATTATATCAATGAATGTTTTTTCTTTTCTTTAGCTAATTTAAAAATTGATTTCTTGGTTTCTAATTAATTATATTTTTTGTAAACAAAATACAGTTGACCCCCCCCATAACATGGTAGACATGTCCCAGTTTTTATGAATCCATTTACTACGAAACCAGCCAATCACAGCCTGGCACGTATGCAGTTTACAGACTACGGCTTTTTGAAAGGTTTCTTCCATAAAATTAATCAATTCTAGACTAATTTGACTCAACATTTCCAAAATACATGTAATTTTTTGGGAATAATCCATATAAACTATGCTATAAACAAAAAATTGTAGGATTACTTACCGAGTGTGCACCGTTAGACCATGCCATTGCTTAAGCTTGTTTCGTCGTGGAGCTTGTCATTGAATGGCGTTCGCGTGTTTCCCGATAAATTATTTTTTTTGCGAAAAATTCGCCAAACTTTGGAGACATCATTAATATAAATATAATTTTTACGGATGTTAAATAATAAATGGTTTTTAGTAGGTCTGCTGCTCGTTTAAACTCAACGGTTTGTACAATATCCACTATTGGTCTAGATTCGATCAATCCTGTCGCGACACAAGTCAGTGATGATGTTTTACCAAATTATAGGCGTTTTTTTAGCATGTTTGTACGAATACTGTCGCAATTTTTTCGCCGTGATATAGGAATCCAAACTATAGGAACCCATGTTATAGGGGGTCAACTGTATCTGTTTATATAAACCTATACATATAACCAATATCCATCATGAAAAGCTATGAGAAAGCAAATGTTTTCATTTGTGCTTAATGGGTATCGTCAGGCTAACAGATGATGACCAGTTAAACACGTATGTTCTTGTAGTTATTCCTGCTAGATATTGGTTATATGTGTAGTTTTTTATTTATGTATACCAAGTTCAAATAGTTGAAAATATCTATCTAAGAATATTTATATCTTTAACTTTATCACTGAATCAATTATGAAATATAATGTAAATGATTTAGATACACATATTTTGTGTTTGCAAGGATCTAAATCACCTTTTCAATTTTATTCTAATAGACTGAGATTAAATTCAAGTTCTAGGAAAGTGTTTTCACACATTTCAATGTGATTACAATATGGATGATTTGATTAATTACTAAATTATATGAATCAAATGCATCCTTTTAAAAGAATTAAAAGTTCATATTAAATCTTGTAAAGAAAATAACTTGTGAATATTTTACATATTTCACCATAACATTAACAAAGGTCTTTACAAAAAAGAAAAAATATATATCTTTAATCTGTTATGTAGGTCAGACATTTTGCTATTTACTCTTTAAATTCCATAGAAATATTGATTTTTTTAGAATCTTACATTTGGCAATTTTATCTTTTTGTGTATTCATTGATGTAAAATGTTGCATTGTCTATGCTAAATATTGTTTAAATTAAGTCTTATGTTTTGTCATTCTTATCTCTGCTGTCTCCATCTTTACCTGGGCTGTGATAATTGCCTGCATTGCAGCACTGTACATCATTACGGTTTGTACAGTTTTATATAATCTTTGTATCATTGCATGGTTTTGTATAATCTTCCTTTTATTTTGCAGCATATTTTCTTATCACACAGCATCCCACTCATCTTTCTCCAGTGTGGTACATATTATATTGACAAATGCATTGCTTACCAATTAATGTGATTAATAAAAATACATTACATATGAATGATGATTCAAACAAGCTTAGAATCTGTTACTTATATGATCCTTATTGAATTTTTGGGGATTTATATTATTTGAAACTACTATTTAAATATTTGATTTGATCAGAATATGACTTGCCAGTTAGTTCAAAGTCCCAGTCATTAGAATTTTGAATATCTCACGAAATATAATACTTTTAAAAGATTTCACTGTGGACAGAGCTACTTCACAAAGTATGTTCATGCATTGTCACAACTGTGCAATTGTGCCCTGTTTTATCAATTCCTTTATATTATATAAGTACGATTTTTCACATTAAATGAAACTTTATTAATACTGTTGTGTGTTCATTTGAATGTGAATGAAAAATAATCAGTCATTCAAAATATCTTGAATAATTTTAGAATCAGATTTGAGTTGAGAGAGGTGCTTTTACGAATTACTGAGAACAACTTTTTCTGTTTCAATGATAACATTTATTTGCAAAAGGAGGGAGTGCCTATGGGTTTGCCTCTATTGGCCATTTTGGTAGAGTAAGTCATGAGGACCATAGAGTTCAAAGTTTTTAGATTCCCTCTTACCGTATGTTATCCATTTCTATATTTGAGGTATGTTGATGATATTCTACTTGCATGGGAAGGCTCAGATAAAGAATTATTAGAGTTTATACAATCACTGTTGGTTATTTTCTGACTGTTTCCTTTACTAAAGAAGAGGAGAAGGATACAAAGATCTCCTTTTTGGATCTGCTTCTATATAGATCTCAAATATAAATACCAACCGAAACTCTATGAATAGCAAGTAGACATCCAACACTGCTGTAAATAATCAGGTTATAATTTGAAAATAAGAAAATAATGATTTTGAATTACAAATGAATTTGTCAAATTCATTTGTAATTCAGAATCATTATTTCCAAATTATAGCCCGATTATTTATGGCAGTGGTAGATGTCTATTATATAGATCTCACAACAGCATCTTATTTTCTATGTATCATAAATTTGATGAACCTTATTATATCATTCCTTCTAAAGCTTTTCAACCCTCCAGGTACAAAAACTCAGCTATTATATTGTTGATATGCAAGGCATTTGCAGTGTATTTTTTATATCCTTCCTCCTAATTGCTTGTAGATGAGGAGCTTTCCCTTTTTAAATTGGCAGTTTGTAACACTGGGTATTCTTTAGTCAATTTCTACCATCCACTTTGTATTGTAAAAAGGAATTTGTTTTTATAGCACCAACCATTCCATACCTGGGTCCTCCCTTTGTTATGTATTTGTTGAGTTTTTAAGAAATTGGCTATACAGGTATAGCTCACCTTACGTCGGTAATTGGTTCCAGGAGAGGCGACGTAAGTCGAATTTACTTGTCTCCGAATCTACTTGTCACTAGGCTAAACCATAAATTACCATTCCCGGTTCTGTATTTTATTTATTAATGCATTTTTAATAATACAGTAGAGTCTCGAAAACGCAGCCTAATGTGGACCGAAGGGTGGCCGAGT